TAATGTGTTCAGAAGTTGATTAATTGAGCAAGTAACCTCATAAATGATAAGTTTACGAGTTGGTAACAATGATACATGTAACCATATAGTTCATGCATCAATTGAAACCATAAAATATCTAAATGGTCCACAAGAAAAGTGTATAGGCCCACATTTGTCACCATGTATCAATTCTAGAACATTAATAGATTTGTAATTTATATTTATTGGTGATAGCTGAAAAATTAATTTGCCTTTAGAATTAAAATCACATGAAAAATTATTGCTTTGAAGAATCTATTGATTCTTCAATAAATGACCATACGAGTTGTCAATATTTTTCGCGTCATAATTTAACCGTGATGGCCTAACCGGTAATGCTAGAAAATAAAGTTATTAGTAAAATTCTAGTTTACTATAATGTGTTTCAATTGTATTAATTATTGTGGTACAATCCAAATGAGAGTGTAGACAGTTCTTTCAAGATATATTTATTACCTTGAGTTATACTAGTAATTTGGAGATATTTAGCATCCCATTCACTTATGGTCTCAATATGATATTCATTCCAATGATATCTTTAAAACTCAACAAATTTTCTTTCAGACTTTGAAGAATATAACACATCATCAATTTTGAATGTAGTTTCATTTGGTAATAATATATTTTCTCTTCTAGAACTTTCTATGATTTTAATACTTCCTGATATAGCACTCAAATTATCCTTTTGCATTATGAAGTGAGACAAATATTTCTTATGGTTAAATATGGTATGAGTAGTTGCACTATTTTTGAATAGTTACAAGATTTGACATATTATCTAAAACAAACAAATCAAATGACAATTATTATTATTATGAATACATAATAAATTGCATCATCTATATAATTTTGAAGTACATATACGTAATTCAATCTATACATGCAACAATCAATAACTAAAGCATAATTCTAAAAGATTTATTCATGCAATAATCTGAAAACTACATACAACTGGAAGAGTGGTGGGAGATTCCATGGAGCAGTTTGTTTGGAGGAGGTGGCAGCGTAGTTGCTAATAGAGTAAGGTTTCTTTCGTCGTCAGTTATGGTGAAATTTGTGGTTGCTGGCAAAACAAACACAGAGAAGGTAGGGTATGAGGGTGCTATTTACACTGAGGATGGAGTTTTGAGGGTCATTTTTTCGGGGCTGAGGAGGTTTGCATTGTCGATTTTGCGTTGTTAACAGCCACAAAAGTAGTTTTGGAGGTGTTTATAGAAGCAGGTTGGATGGGGTCAGTAAATTTGATGATTGAAATAAATTCAAGTTCAGCGTTGAGTTGGAAATCCGTGGTTGTGTTTGAAAGAGATTGATAAGTTAATCGGTGCTGCTGCGGGTGTTCGTTGCAAAAAGGTCAGTACAGGGCCCAAGGGGCCCGGCTCTGTTAAAATTTATATATTCGATATAATTTTAGTTTAAAAGTATTTTGGTTCATGTAAAAATAAATATTTAAATTTAAAAATATAAAAATTTATTAAATATTTAATCAAGTAGTGGTTGAACTAAATAATAATAAGTTTGTGTTCTCAATGTTTGGTCTAATTACAATTTAAGTCATTGTAAGTTTAAATATTAGACAAATTAAAAGTTGTCTTTTGGAAGTTGTCTTTTGAGTTCTTTTTTTTAATTTAGGGTGAATACAAAGTAATATATGTACAAAGACTTTCAACTATTTGACAATGAATGCTCATATTCCTACATACGTAATTGAACTCGGGATCTCAAGGAGAACAACAATCCCTTAATAACTAATGTCGCTTGGTTCATGCTGAATTTTGAGTTTAAATACATAATAACTCTTTATATTTTTCTTAAATAGTCTAATATTTTAATATTTACCGATATTTAATTCTAGCTCTGTCCCTGTATCAATAGGTGGGACTCAAGTTGGCTGGTCACTTCGCAGGAGAAAGTTTGTGTCATAAATCCTTATTAAAGGCATGGTGGTAATTTTGCTGAATTCGGTTTTCAAGTAGTTGCTAGAAGGAGATTTAATGTTAGGTTTTGACATTGCTTGGCTTAGGAGTCCATAACAAGAATAGTTCTCAAGTTAACTGCTGTTACGTTTTTTTTTTCTCTTGTCCGTGGTTTGCTATGTTGTTCGATTGGTTGCAGTCTTTGAGTATTATGTTGTGATCATTGGATAAAGCCTGGAGTAATTTATTTCTAGAAGGTTTTGCTGCGTTCGTTTGTTTTGGCCATGATGGTTAGGTCCTCCTTAGGCTTGGAGGTGCTCATTGGTCCTCTCAGCGTCTCGAGGCAGCTGGTTCCCTGTGTGTGAGCCTTAGGGTGAGGCAGTGTTTTGTGAAAGTGGGTGTTCAGCGTCCTTTCATCGATTGTTTTTTTCCCCTTATGTTTTAAAGTTTTGGGGGCTCTGTTTTGTTGTATGTTTGGAATTGGCCTCGCGCGTCTTCGTGTTGTTTTTGGAGGTGTTTGCTGCTTAAGTGTTGTTGGTGTTTTTCCTTCTACTTGGTTAAGTGTAATCTTTTTTTTAATCTAAATTTAGGAAGAGTTTTAATGAGACTCTTAATTTAAATTCAGTTTAATAAAAAAAATTCTTGCAGAGCAAAAAGATTGTTATATTTTAAAAATTTTATATATTTTAAATGTTTATGTTTTCTTAAATCACGATTTAAAAATTGTACGCAATAACCTAAACTTATTTTTTTATAAAATAATCTAAACTTATTTAATTATTGGTGGTGTACCGGTTGTAATATATTATAAGGTCTCAAACTAAAACTTCAATTATTTATTTGACCTATACATCAATATAGTTTTAAACGATGGACATCTTAGCTAAATAATTTTACTTAACCTAATTTTAATACAAACAAACTATAGCATTATTATCTTTATCTCGTTACTTCATTCTTTTGAGAGAAAAAAACTCAAAGCCTAATCTATCAATTTTCAACACAACAATCACATACAATATCAATTGGATATTGTGCAATGTCAACATAATCATAAACCGGACAAGTCGTATTTTGAAATTTTATAGAATAACTTATGCAAAATGGTAGAATAATTTTAAAAAATAAAAAGAAAATTTTGATGGGTGATAGATCGCTTACCATAAAATACATGGAGACAACTCCTTATTTTTAATAAAAAAATTCTCATAATAAATACAAGTTGATAACGTGTTATAAAATAAAGAGAGAGAATAAAAGATATATGAAGAAAAAGAAAAGATATGAAATGTGTTGGGATATTTCATCAAACTCTATATTTATAGACACAAGTAGTAGATGTAATAAACAACTCTAACACTAATGGATTTAAAGACCTAATAATAATGTCCTTCAAAATCCTATCTTATAAATAAAGATAAATATCCACATAAATAAATATTCATAACAAAAAATGAATAAAAACTCAATTTTAATATAAACATACACTTAACCGGTAGGTTGACCTCCAACTCAAACGACCATCAATATTTGAACGAAAAAAAAGATGAGTTTATAGCATATGAATAGTTGGGTGACCGTTTTATCATTTTTTAATAGTCTATAGATTCCGTAAAATAGTGTCATACAATCAGGAGATCATTCGTGTATTTTACCCTTCTGTTTTGGTAGGACCAAGGTTTTTCTTTCGATTTTTATTGTTAATAAAAATATTATATTTTCCTTTCGATATATTCTCAGAAATTCTTACCCCTCCAAAATTATTTTGACTTAATAAGGTTCTTTTTAATTTAAATTTAAGTAAAAATAGACTTTTGTCCGTCTCAAATTTTTAGATTAAATACATAATAAATTGATATAATTTTGAACCTAAATACGTTGCTTCTTCCAATATTTGATCGTGGCTCAGCCTCCAAAGTCTTTCTTTCACTGTATCTTGATTATTAAAAAGATACAGAGGCTATCTTGATTATTAAAAAGATACAGAGGCTTAGCAATGAAGACAGCAGATAAGATATTAAAGGAATCGGGTTCCTTTTTTGTAGAATTGTCTCCGACTCAGCCAAGCATTTGTTTTACCTTGATGACATAATAGATTTGTTCTTCTGTGATGAGTTCAAAGAAAGAATAAAGATTAGGAGACGATGAGATTCTGTTTGCCCACGGCCAGGTTCAGAACAAGCTTCTCTAGTGGACTAGAGAATAAAATTTTGGGTAAACTACATATTGTCATCTAACTATCACTTGTTTCTGTTTTGGTCACCCAACTATTATTTTTTCAAAATCATAACTAACGTTATGTTTTAGTTTTGTTTTTGTTTCCCACCGTAAAAAATATTGATAATAATAACGCCTCATCATAAGGTAATATCATGTTATCATTGAATAAAATTATCACATCAGCAGTTCTGTTTATTTTTTAATGGTAGGTGATTGAAACGGAACCAAACCGTGACATTTGATATGATTTTTAAAATCATAGTTGAGTAAACAAAACTGAACTTAAGTGAGAATTGGGTGACTAAATACTTAGTTTATCCTAAAAATTCTAAACTACTAAAAGTGAGCTTTCCATATATATTGAAAATGATCTATTAAAGGGTGGCCACTCAAAGTTTTCATTTTTAGAGAAGAAAATCCAAGGAAATTTTATTTTTAGTGTTTGATATAACAAATTCATGTACACATATTCCTTTGAGAATTTTGGAAAGGAATGAATAATATAACTGAGAGAAGAAAGAAAGAAAGAAATGCTTAAAATTGCGTTCCATCCTCATTTAACCAATTGACTCTTTTAGTCACTATTTCTTAATTTATTTCAAATCAAGCACTTGATAGTTACGAGGATATAATTGTAATATGATTGAAGTGGAATTGTTGAAAGATCATATATTTATTGTAATCATCATGGTACAATTAATGATAAAATTAAAAATGATAATTTCTTTAAATAATTGTTGAAAATTTAAATTTCATGTTATAAATGAAATAAATTAAATTAAAAGAGTTCATGTGATTTTTTAATAATATTTAATATAATTTTATGATGTTTTGCGATACTCGATCTCAATAGATTGAACTAACCGATTAACTAAAACGCTCCAAACCCTATTTTTCCAAACTCTTATTAGTTTTTACCCTAACTTAAAATACACGGTTTCTTCATCTACATGGCAAAATTATCACCCCAATACACCGGTACAAGTTTAATAAGCTAGGTATTCTAATGATGATGAAGGTCACATAATTGAACATGCATTCGGGTTTTCGTCGCTGAACAACTCAAAGGTATAAGACGGCTGCGATATGTACGATAAACACATGTCAGACGACGGATGTTCACTCGTGTTGCGTAAGTGCATATACATATACGAATGCGGACTTGGCGACGTATAATATGAAGCACCATAGCCACTCGAATACGTAGTATTGTAGCCAGTAAAATACAACGGTGGTGCAGGGTAACACGTCAGGTTCTCATCCAGGTTGAGATGCTGACGTGGTGGGCTACGATTGGGAGATGTCATGGGAATAGAGCCGTGAGGTCCAAAACAGGTAACCTGTGGTCCGGTGGATGCCGTTCCTCCAGCATCAGCAGGATGATCAGCCTCCTCAAAATTAACACTAGCATTCCCTTTCCGCCCCTTCTTTTTCTTTTTACCACCACCGCCACTGTTACCTTCACTTTCACCACCACCACCGCCTTTCCTTTCCGGTACCGCTGACTGATTACCGGTCAGGGGGACTTGCTTGTCTTTATCATCATTTTCACAGCCTTTAGAAGCACCGTCTTGAAGAACTGAGAGTACTTCAACTTTTACTGTTTCTTTCTGATCTTTATCATCTCCAATTTCTTCAGTATTTGCTTGTTTGTCTTTGTTCTTTGATTTCCCTTTCTTCGCCTTTTGTTCAGGCCATAACTCTGCATGTCTCCCTTTCTTTACTAATTTCTTGATCAAAGTATCCACATTTACGTGTAGGTTGGCTTTTACCGTAGCCTTTTGTTGTTTTAAATCGGTTTCAACCTCGTAAACTCCTGCAAATTACAAAGGGAATTGTAGAAACAAGAGAGAAAATAAAAGAGAAAATTTGATGAAGGAATTGGGATTCTATTAACTGAAATTAAAAACAAAACCCAGATGAGAAAAAGCTGAGAAACATCAAGATTTTGATTAGAGGATAATTTAAAACTATAAAAGGTGGTATTCTCAGTGTAGGAAACTGCAGACACCTGAAATTTCAATGAAAAAGAAGAAAAAAATACATGTCAAAAGGATTTGACATAGTTTATGAAGTTTACCATTGATTTTCCTTAGAATCTTTTCCACTTTCCTCTTGCATCCTTCACAATGAATGGAAACTTTCAACACCCAAGCCTGGGGAACACAGCCAAACAATTAAAGGGAAAAAAACTCTGCAAATTAAAGGGCAAAAAACTCTGCAAATCTAGTTACTTTTTTAACAAAAAAAAAAAGAAGAAAAAAAAAACAGGAAGAATAAGCTTTAATCCACCTTGTACTTAAGAGCAGGTTCTTGTATTTCTTCCACTTCTTTAGAATTAGATTCTGGTTTGGGTTCAGCTGGCCTGGATTCTTGTTTAGTTTCTTGTTTTCCTTCAATTGTCACCATAGGAACAAAAGTACATAGAAGAAAGCTGAAACTATAATCTATTTCTGAGAATTTAAGCGAGGAAAAATAAGAGAGAGTAAGAGATAGGCCTGGGAAATGAATTTATTACATTATTTTTCGTGCAAGCTTTGCCGTTCTTTTATACCATAATAATTGGAACTTGATCATTTTAATTAGATATGAAACTACAAACATTGATACTAATTTAATAAAATTTATTTAGGGGTAAATTACATAATTCTTCACTCAACTTTCTTCTCACTCTTATTTTAGTCACTAAAGTTTTTTTTCAATTTAATTACTAAACTTTCAAATCACTCTTGTTTTAGTCATTCAACCGTTAATCTATCTAACTGTGTACAAACTTGGCATTTTTATTAATTTTTTTGGAGTAGTTATCATGTCGACCGTCGTTATACTCAAATTTGTTAGATTATCCTATTTTGATCCTTTGAATTCAAATTCGGCCATCATTTCTCTTGAATCCATAAACTTAAACTAAAACCTTAAACCTTAAATCCCAATCAATATCTTAAAACCATGGTGATCTGATAGTTAGATGTGATACATGTATCACACACCACATATCAAAGGAAGATAGGATAACTCTCCTACTTGCTCCAATAACACATGCTCGGACTAAATTTCTCAAAGACACGTTTCAAGTTTTAGTTAAAGCATTCATCATCAAGGGTGTACATTCCCACATGGAGATTGAAAAATTTAAGAAAGGATATCCATCACTCATTCCTCTTATATTTACATGGATAATCAAAAATCAAGTTGAAGCAACTTTAGGACCAAACTATGACACACTTAAAGACAATCTTGAAATTACCTTTAAACTTTGTTTTGCCCCCAAATTTTAGGAGTGGCCAAAATGAGTAAACTGATAGTTTAGTACTTAGATATAAACTTGGTAAAACATTGAGGACTAAATTATAATTTTTAAAAATCATGTGTTTTAGTCTTGTAAATGAGTAGTTTACCCCAAGAGTATGGCTCCATGTTACCCGATTTTTTCATATGGAGTTTGTGTTAAAGACTATAAAGCGTTAAAGTTTGACAAAAATTCAGATAAACGGATTGAATCGAATAATTGATATATTTTATTAAATGATAAGGCAAGGTTAATAATGTCATTTCAATGCCTTAGAGTGATAAGATTTAATATGGACCATTGGATTTAAGTTGATTTTCCATGTTAAATATAAATTGTTCGATGAGAATGACAAGATTATAATTTTGAGGTTTTTCAAGGGCAAATATAGTAATTACTAATTCATTGCATTAATTAGATCCCTTAGATGAGTATTTTTTACATGTGACAAGATGATGAGTATTGGATTTTAAGGGTAAAATGGTTATTTTCCAATAAAATGAATAAAAAATTTATTTTAACCTAAAAGATGACAAATGTCTTATTATTAAAACATAGAAATTTCAAGAGCTTTGTTCATCTGTCCTTTGTTTCGTGACTTCCATAAGGTAAGGGGGAAACTTTTCTTTTGATTTTTCAAGCCATTTTATTAGGAATTTGTATTGAAGCATGAAATACAAAATTGATCTACTTGAAATTCTCCATCATTTGATACAATTAGTTAATGTTTTCATGCTTAAAATTCTAAGTTCTTGACTTGGGTGAATGAAGAGGAAGTTAGAAATTGATGTTCTATGGCTTGATTATGATGTAGTTGTTGTTTTATGGCTTTGATATATGGTTTTGATGAAATACCCGTTGTATGTATATTGAGAGTCGTTGGTATAATTGACATGCCATGAGGTGGAGTATTTATACTTATCACGTATATATTTATGGTGCTTTCATACTCTCAAGATACATTATATGGCACGTATGTATTGATGGTAGTATTCCTATTATGGTACACTAATACATATGTTCATTGTATCTTTGTACATTCTATATGGCACTAAAAGTGCAAATTGTGTATACTCATATGTGACTCGCATACCATGCATCCTCATTCATTATACATTGGGCGTGATTTGAATGAAATTGAAAAGTGCAGGTTTGATATGTTCAATTAAAAGTAAATCTCTCATCGAATATTCTAATTTGTTATTAAATTGATGTAAGGCTAACCAGGCTTCTTCAATAATGGAGAAGTTGGCAACCCTGTTGTTTCCCGTTCTAGGAGAGACACCAAATGCCGCACTTTGAATCAATAAGTAATCTACACAAAATTAAAAGAAAGAAATGATTAAAATAGACTATGGAAGAAGAAAGGAAATGATAAGAAAGAAAATGGATAGAAATGTTATAAAATATGGGTTGCAGAAGTGTTGAATAAATCTCCTTCAAGTGATGTTAACTTCAGCCTCCAATGATGGTGATGAAGTATGCCTTGTTGATGAATGAAGGATGATTTAATGGTGATGAAATGGTAATGGAAGGATGATGTTATTGGCCTGATATGGAAGATGGTGATGTTATAGATAGTATCTTATAAAACTAAGAAGGAACCAATGTTATAAAGAACAAAGACCCGTTTCTTATAAGTTTTATAAGGGATGGTAGCAAGGACTTTGACCCACTAGTTATATGAACTAGGAACCAGAAGTATCAATGAAAGGGGTTTGATGCCACAAACTATGAAAGCTTGCTTAATCAATATAGTTCTAAAAATAACTTGAAGAGAGAATAATCTCACAAGGATTTTATATTATCAAAGGGTTCAAGTTACAAATGAATATCAAAGCCATATTTATAGGCTTGCATAGGTTTTGCCGAATAAATAGGTGTCCATTTCGCTAGATACATGTCTTAAAACGAAAATAGATGATTCTTGGATGAGGGGAGATGTCTTTGGCCGAATGGTTCCCTTGTCTCTTCATCTTGGAGCTAACTTAAAGCAAGGTGATGCTTTGGCCAAATAGAGAGAACCCTCTTTATTTTGGCACCCTCTTCATTTTGGCACCCATTTCATCCACATGTATAGCACATGTGTGGGCTGGTCATAAGACACTCACATGGGCGGCATAGGGTGCTTATGGTGTGGCTTCTCCTTGACGTGAAGTTGAGCAGCAACTAGGTGTGATTTGGCTTCCATCTTGCGTCTCAGTGACATGGCATCAATGGGGCAACAACTAATTATGAAAGGTCACATTTGTTGAAGATAACCTTTCATCATTTGAGTTCCTTCCCATGTGTATGAGATGAATATGAGCTGGCCATAGATGAAATACATGAAGATGGGTCTTAGGACAGCTCCTTGTGAAAGGGCACTTCTCGAATTGGCAACTCTTCGTGAAAAGGTACGAATTCACAAAATTTGACCTAGACCATATTTGTAGTTCTCTGTGTGGTGAAGATGATGGCGTAACTCTCCAGCTGAAATAAGGCCTTTAGCTAGCTTAAAAATCTAGCTCAAGTGAGCTATGACCTCGGGGGTCAGCTGACAACTTTTCACCATTTGTTCTTCATGATCTCCTGAGTCATATTATGTAAGTTTTCCTAGCTCATTGATTCCCATGCTAGCTTTAAGTCAGCTCCAATGATGTGGCCGAACATGTACCTATAAAAGAAAGCATATAATAAGCTAAATAATATAAGATATAATCATGTAAATATGTGGTTCATAATAATAACTTCATACATTCATAATATCATCATCATAACAATAAATATAATGTATGTAAGCTATTATCATAACTATGGTAAAAAGAAAGATTAAGTTAAAGAAAATGCCCCTTAGATTATTGAGAAAGGTTGGAGATGCAAGTCCATTTTTGATGTTGAATTGGATCACATCATCCCCCCTTCTTTAATGCGATTTGTCCTCAAATCGAAAGGTGGCTTCTTTTCAATGTTCCTTCATTCCATAGTTGTTGTTTCGTCAGAAAATGGAATCCTTTCAATAGGCTCTTGAGTGAGATATGTCCATGTAATTTTTCTTTGAACGTTTAGGTCCCTTGATTTCCCAAAAGTGATGTCTCTTAATACTCCAATAGGCATGATCATTGAATCCTCATGGGTCACATCCATTAGTTCTTCCAAAGACACGTTCTTTGAATGAAAAATTGTGTCCTTTTGTTACTCAATGGATACGTCTTTTGGATTTCCAAAGGTCATGTCTCCTAAACCTTCCTTTTGGCAAATGGCGTCTCTTGGTACATCATGTAAGTGAAAGAAAAAATCTGCTTGTTCAAAGTTAGAATAATCATCTTTAACCTTGCATTTTGTCAATAGACATTCTCGAATCAAGCACTTTGAAGAATAAGCACTAGTTCTCAGATCAGTTTCCTCCATGGTTGTTGCTTTTCCTTTCCTTATAGCCTCAACACTTTGCTTCATTTTGGCTTGATCATTTTGGACTTGTTTAGGCGTTAAAGGAGTAAGGATAATCTTCTTCCCTTTATGGATGAACGAATATTGATTGGTAAAGCAATCATGAATAGTTCTTTTGTCGTATTGCCATGGCCTTCCAAGAAGTAGGTGGCTAGCTTGCATAGGGACAACATCACGCATAACCTTATCTTTGTATTTGCCAATGGAAAAAGGAACTAACTCCTGTTTGCTAATGTTGAGTTCTCCTCGTTCATTGAGCCACTACAACTTATATGGTTTCGGGTGTTTCATTGTTTTCAAACCAAGCCTTTCCACTATTATTGTACTAGCCACATTAGTACAACTTCCACCATCTATAATAACAAAACCTACCTTTTCATTTACATGGCATCGGGTATGGAAAATGTTCTCTCGCTGTGCATTGTCTTCCGTGAGTTGAACATTCAAACATCTTTCAATTACCAAGGCTTCTCCTTGATCAACGGGATCTGCAAGAGTGATTTCTTCATTGACTTCAATGGGTGCCTCTTGTTCTTCCTCAGATTCAGATTCTATTTCACCATTTCCAAGTAAAAACATGGTGTTCCGGTTAGGGCATTGTGTAGATACGTGGCCCCTCCCAAGACATTTAAAGCATCTAATGTCTCTTGAACGTTCAATAGTTTGCTTTCCTCGGTTGAAATCTTTATTTACTTGTCAATTCTTTGAAGATTCGTCTTGATCTTTGACAGGAGGAGGAGTTGACTTCTTGATGTTGTTTGGACTCCATTTGGATGTTGTGGGCGCAATATTGCGAGATGT